GGTAATGTTTTTAAGACAAATAACAACCCCATTTTTACTTTAATTAATAAATGTATTAGATTCAACGATAAAACTTTGTGGCCAAACGACCTTTCGAACATCATTGTTAAATAGAGTTTATAATAATTAAACGTGTGATTATGTAAAAGAAATGAAAGATATTATTAAAGGTAATTATGGATGTGTTTCAACTGATATAATGTCCAAATTTGGGAATAGTTACAATACAACAACTTTACATTTTATAGACCAAAATTTTGTTCCTAAAAATTATGTCTTAGATGTAAGTGTTTTTAGTGAAACACACACATCAAAAAACATTAAAAACAAAACAGAAAACGTTTTAAACAAATATGGAATAACGAATTCTGTTAATTACATCGTTTCGGATGGTTGTGCTAACAATAATGGATTAAATGACATTTGTGGTGAAAAGTTTAACTGTGTTGTTCATGGAATTAATCTTATTTTTTCTGATTTAATTAAAACTATTCCAGAGTTGAATGAAACATTGAAAAAGATAAATAAAATACCAAAAACGTACCAAGTATCACCATCCAGACCCATTACTTTAAAAAAGAAATGTGAAGAAAATAAAGAGAAATATTGTTGTTTGGCAACTTTTTGTAAAACACTTTTTAATTCGTGTTATAAATCATTGGAAACGGCTCTTCAAATGGAAAAATCAATAACCGCAACAGATGAAAACAGAAGACTAACAAATGATAACTGGATGGAAATTAAAAAAATGTTACCTTTCGTTATAACAATGAATATTGCTTACAATAAACTTTCCTCGAACACTACACCAAACTCTTGTTATGTATGGGGAATATTTAAAGAAATATGGAAAGTTATAAGAAAAAACAAAACACAAACATGGAATTTCCCCAAAGAAAAGTCGCATATAAATTTCGATTTTCGATTCATAATTCTATTAATAAAATAACGGAGATGTCCAGACTGCCAACTCCGTCTTTGTGTTAAACCCCATTAACTCATCTTGGCTCATCCGTGCAGCCAACACCACTAACAGCGTCGACTATA